CTCGGGGCTGGCTTAGAAATTCGCCACTGAAGTTGGCCGTGAGCGGGAATCGAATTCGGGTTGCCGGATTGGGAGCAGCATTTTTACCACACACACATATATAATATATACACAAAACAAAGATAAAGATCCCCCTTATAGACTGTTGGGACAAGTGCTGTTAGTAGCACCTATGAAGGCCGGCACGGCACACGAGGGGGTGGGTGGCCAGAACCACGCCCGACCGCCTTTGTCTCCCCAGTGACGATATTTTTTTTTTTACACACCGCACCAGGTAACTCATTTGAGGCCGAGTCGACCTAGCGAAGGCCCATGACCGGTTCAGATAATCGCTACCGTGAGCAGGAATCGAACTCGGATCACCGGGTTCATAGCGCAGCGTGCTAACCACTACACTACCGCTCCTCACGATATGCACACACGCACACATATACACACACACATACAAACACAAACTCACAGTCCTACATATACAGACGCACACGCACGTAGGTATGTATGCAGTGCACACAAAGACAAATATCCCCCGTGTAGCCTGTAACCGACTGTTGGGGCAAGTGCTGTTAGCGAGCACCTAACGAAGGCACACGAGGGGGTGGGTGGCCAGCACCACGCCCGGCCGCCTTTGTCTTATACACGCAGACACACGCGCGTATACATCTGCCCGTCGAGCCAAAGATCCCCCGTGTAGCCTTACACAGGGTGCAGGGGCGGTGTTGCTGTTTGCGAGCACCAAGGCAGATCGGCACGATGCAAAACGCCCTGTCGCCTTTGTCTCCCCAGGGGGCGATGTTCACCCACGGCGACCGGGAGGGCGCTGCGAACCGGTTCAAGACATTCGCCACTAACCTTTTTTAGTGGCCCTGTGCGGGAATCGAACTCGGGAGCGCCAGGTCCGTAGCGCGGGGGCTCTGAGCCACAACTCACTCGTCACGCGCACGTGCGTGTGCTACACAGACAAAGATTCCCCGTGTAGCCTTAACAGACTGTTGAGTCAAGTGCTGTTAGCGAGCACCTGTGAAGGCCAGCACGGCACACGTGGGGGGGGGGGGGGGGGTGGTGAGTGGCCAGCAACACAACCCGGCCGCCTTTGTCTCCCCAGTGGCGATGTTTACACACCGCACCAAGGTACTCTTTTGGGTCCGAGTCAACCCGCACCTCCAACTAGCACGGTTGGCTACATACTGTGCGAAAGAAGTTTAACGTACACACGTACATAGTACACACACGCGCATACCACCAACAAACAAGCATGTACACAACAGGTACACACGCGCATACACACGTTTACACACATATATAAAACATCAACACGCACGTACACAAAAACACACACGCATGAAAATGTATAATGTACTATGCGTGTAGGTGTGTAAACATATACACACAAACTCATCGGTAAAATAATCAACAAATAATTTGGCGATGCTGCTGAGTTGGCAGCGCACGAGCGCAGCCTCCCTTCAGAGGAAGAACAAATAGGCGACGTTTCGTACCATGGCCCTTCTTCATAGCACGTAGCATAGATGTAATAACACAGGCAGCATGTACGTTCCATTATGCGCAATGTTATATACGCAGACTCACAGGCACAAATGCGCACACATACGTACACTCATAAACACACACATATATACACGTTTATATTTACATACACGGGCATGCACATGATCAATACGAAGATCCCCCCCCCCCCTGTATAGCCTTAACAGACTGTTGGGGCAAGTGCTGTTAGCGAGCACCTATGAAGGCACACGAGGGGGTGGGTGGCCAACACCACGCCCGGCTGCCTTTGTCTCCCCAATGGTGATGCATACACACGCAACAGGTACTCTTTTTGAGGCTGACTCGACCTGGGGGAGGCCCAGGACCGGTTCAGAATAATCGTCACTGGTGTTGGCCGTGAGCGGGAATCGAACTTGGGTGACCAGGTTCGTAGCGCAGCGCGATAACCGCTACTCCACCGCACGTACATACACACACATACACACACGCGTACACACACTCAAACAAACACACGTACACACACACACACGTACACACACACACGCGTACACACACTCAAACGAACACACGTACACACACACATACGCGTACACACACACTCAAACAGACACACGTACACACACAAACAAACACACGTACACACACACTCAAACAAACACGTACACACACTCAAACAAACACGTACACACACAAACACGCACGGGCACACACAAAACACACGTTCACACAAAACACACGTTCACACATAAGCACACGTACAAACACACGAAAACGCGTACACAAACACACGTACACAAACAGTACACACAAACACACGTACACACACAATGCACACAAACACCTACACAGTACGCACACAGTACACACACGTACACACACAATGCACACAAACACCTACACAGTACACACACGTACACACACAATGCACACAAACACCTACACAGTACACACACGTACACACACAATGCACACAAACACCTACACAGTACACACACAGTGCACACAAACACCTACACAGTACACACACAATGCACACAAACACCTACACAGTACACACACAATGCACACAAACACCTACACAGTACACACAGTACACACACAGTACACACACAATGCACACAAACACCTACACAGTACACACACAATGCACACAAACACCTACACAGTACACACACAATGCACACAAACACCTACACAGTACACACAGTACACACACAGTACACACACAATGCACACAAACACCTACACAGTACACACACAATGCACACAAACACCTACACAGTACACACACAGTAGACACACGTGGGTTGGTGATGACGTCTGGACCCACACCCATTCTTCTACACGTACTGACCAGCGCGGTGAAGTATGGCCAAACAACCTCCACGACCGACACGGAGTGGGGAGGCCTTCATCTAGCAGTGGATTGACAAAGGACTGTAAATTAATATCATGATTATGCACACACATCATGCAGATGTAATGTTCATATTATATTACACGTATGCATACAAAAAATATAGACACAAGCATATGCGCAAATATGCAATCACACATACGCAGTACGTACATGCAATATAACGGAGCGAATATTATTGTACATAAACCTACATCTGTACACACACATACGCACGCAAAGATCCCCCAATAGACACCGTTCACAGGCTGTTGGGGTGAATGATGTTAGCGAGCTCCTATTAAGGCCGGCACGGCACACGCGAGGCCAACACGACGCCCGGCCGCCTTTGTCTCCACAGTTTACACACCGCACCAGGTACTCTTTTCAGGCTGAGTCGACCTAGGCAAAGGCCCAGACCGGTTCTAATATTTGGCACTGTTCTTGGGAATCGAACCTAGGTCGCCGACGGTCGTAACGCAGTGCGCTAACCACTGCGCCACCGCTCCGCACATATATACACATGCATGCACACATAGACATATTAATGGAATGACAAATATCCCCGTGTAACCTACTTAGACTGTTGGGGCAAGTGATGTTAGCGAGCGCATATATACAAAGACACACTCACACATATAGACACACACACACTCATATACAAAGACAAAGATCCCCCATATAGCCTTAACAGACTGTAGGGGCAAGTGCTGTTAGCGAGCACCTATGAAGGCCGGTAATGGTACACGAGGGGGTGGGTGGCCAGCACCACGCCCGACCGCCTTTGTCTCCCTAGTGGCAATGTTTACACACCGCACCAGGTACTCATTTGAGGCTGAGTCGACCTAGGAAAGGCCCGGGACCGGTTCAGATAATCGTCACTGGTGTTGGCCGTGAGCGGGAATCGAACCCGTGTCGCCGGGTTCATAGCGCAGCGTAGCGCTAACCGCTACACTATCGCTCCCCACTCATATACACACACACATATATATACACACACACATATATGCACACACATACACACGCACGTTACACATTTGAAACTGTTTACGGAAGTTGCCGTCGTGTGCAATAGCGACATGGCCAAGGTGTCAGCAGCATTGGATTCAAATTCAGCCACAGCAGCAACAACAGCAACAACAACAGCTGCAGCAGCAACAACAGCAACAGCAGCAGCAATAGCTGAAGCAGCAACAGCACTAGCGGCAACAGCATCTGCTGCAGAAGCAATAGGTTCGACAGCAGCCAGTAACAGCATCAACAACAACAGTAGTAACATCAGCAACATCAACAACAGCAGTGACAGCAACATCAACAACAGCAGCATCAGCAACATCAACAACAGCAGCATCAGCAACGTCAACAACAGCAGCATCAGCAACATCAACAACAGCAGCATCAGCAACGTCAACAACAGCAGCATCAGCAACGTCAACAGCAGCAGCATGAGCAACAACAGACAGCGTGAGCGGTCGGCTCCACCACCAGCATCACCAGCACCAGCAGCACCAGCAGCAGCACCACCAGCACCACCAGCACCAGCACCACCACCAGCACCACCAGCAGCAGCACCAAAACCACCAGCACCACCAACACCACCACCAGCAGCACCAGCAGCAGCACCACCACGAATCTTCCTCCACCGAGCCCCGTGCCGGTGGAGGTCTGCGTCCGAGAGCCACCACCAGAGTAGCTCCTCCAGTACCACCACTACCACCACCAGCACCACGAGAGCGATTACCATAGCTCCTCCACCAGCACCATCACCATCACCACCACTACCACCAGCACCACGAGAGCGACTACCATAGCTCCTCCACCACCACCAGCACTACCACCACCAGCACCACCAGAGCGACTACCATAGCTCCTCCACCACCACCAGCACCACGAGAGCGACTACCATAGCTCCTCCACCACCACCACCACCAGCACCACCACCACCAGCACCACGAGAGCGACTACCATAGCTCCTCCTCCACCACCAGCACCACCACCAGCACCACGAGAGCGACTACCATAGCTCCTCCACCACCACCACCAGCACCACGAGAGCGACCACCATAGCTCCTCCAAACGCGGGTCGGTCGCCACTTACTTTTGGAGTTGTCTCCCATATCACCCATGTCCTCGTCTTCTTCGCCGTGTTTCTTCTCGCCACGGCCAACGAGGCCTCCGCCTCGATCTCCTCGGCCGATGAGGAGGAGGAAGAGGCGGCGGTGGTGATGCTGGTGATGGGGAGTCCTCCTTCACGCGACGATGAGGCGAGCCGCGTGCCAGGCGCAGTGCACCCTGCCATGCATCTCTGGAGCCACCGCGCCACGGGGTGGCGGCGGGCGGGGGTGCGACTGTTGTTGCTGCTGGTGGTGGAGGTTGTTGTGAGTGGCTGTTGTTGTTGAATGTTGTATCTGCCGGAAGATGGGTTGAGTTGGTCGGTAGGTAGGTAGCTGGGTGGGTCGGTGGATGCAGGAGGTTAGGTGCGTTGGTTGGTAGGCGGCTGGGTCGGATGGTCGGTAGGTGTGGGTATGTGGTTAGGCGAGCAGCCGGCTGACTCACCGCTGCCGCATTTCCCTTCACGAATCGACTCCGTCTCGGCACCACCCCCCCCGCCGCCCACCACAGCCGTTCCGCTCAGCAGCCACAGATGCAACAACCCCCTTCTTTAACTCTCTCTCTCGTACTCTCGATCTCTCTGCGTGCGCGCGCGCGTGCGTGTCTCTCGCTCTCGCTGTGTGCCTTGTGAAAAGAGCGAGCGAGAGGCGAGAGAGAAGAGCGCCCGCACGGGACTCTCAGCGCGAGAGGCTGAAGAGGGGGGACGAGAGGCAGAAGCAGCGGCAGGGGCAAGCAGCGAGAGAGCTGAGCCACAATGCGACAGCGCGCCCAGCCTCCACGACCCCAGCACCACGTCTGCGCGTGTTCATTGGGCAGCCGAGGTCGGGTTTAGTTGGCGGAGAGGGGAGGGAGGGGAGGGAGAGGAGCGAGGGAGGCGGAGAGGGAGGGGGGAGGCACGGGGAGAGGGCGAGGAGGAGGAGGATAGGGATGGAGGTAGGAGGTGAAGAAGGGTGGGTGTTGTTTGGAGTATGGTGGTGGTCGGTGCTAGCGGTGGTGTGGTGGTTAGCGCCGCACCGTGCTACGGTCCCCGCTCGCGAGCAATGACAGGGACAGCGGGGATATTCGAACCGGTCCTGGGATTTCTCCTAGGTCGACTCGGCCTCAAACGAGCGCCTGGTGCCATGTTGTGAGACATCGAGACAAAGGCGGCCGGGCGTGGTGATGCCCCCCTCTCCCCCATTCGTGTTACCGAGCCGCCCTTGCGTGTGCGCTCACTGTTCAGGCTATACGGGTGATCTTTGTCTTTGGTCGACTAACGTTTACGGAGAATATCGCGAGCGAGGACATCGCGAATTCCGTTATTCCGCTGTCATCACCGCCGCGGTCAATGAAGGCCCCCTCGCGGCCGTGTTGGTCACGTGGTTTGTTTTGACGACCATACTTCACCAAGGGGGGGGGGGTCAGTTGCCGCGTTTGGCAAAGAGCCGCTTGCGAAATCAATCACAACGCCGCCGATGTTAGCCCGTGGCTCGGAGTCGAACACAGGTCGCAAAGGGTTTAATAGCGCAGTGAGCCAACCGAAGCGCCACCGCTCCTCCAAAATATGCCAGGGAGTCTTGTTTACGTTGTGTGTATGCAATTCGTATGCGTGTAAGTGTGTTTAATAGGTGCTCGCTAACAGCACTCACCACGACGATGTGTATATATATACATCGCATCAAGCACTCATCGGAGGCTGAGTCGACCTCGGGAAGGTTGTACAGTTTCGTGTGTATGCTGAACTTCTTTCGCACCGTACGTAGCTAACCGTGCCAATCGGAGGTGCGCATCTGGGGCCGGTTTCAGATCTATCCGCGTCCTTGTCCTTTTCGTGTTGACTGAAGTAACAAAGACGATGACGATGATATTATTATTAATTCGTCGTCATCAACCATGGTCAATCCACCGCTGGATGAAGGCCTGTCTCTCTGCAAGCCGCCTACCGCCGCCGCCACCTCTCACCACCGTGTATACGCACAGGCTGCCCCTGTCCGTGTACACAGTGTGCATGTGCAGCGGTTAGCACGACGCGCACCCAACACGGTGACACGGGCTCAGTTCCCGCTCACGGCCAACATCAGCGACGGTTATCTGAACCGGTCCGGGGCCTCCCCTAGGTCGACTCAGCCTCACATGAGTACCTGGTTGCGGTGTGTAAACATCGCTACTGGGGAGACAAAGGCGGTCGGGCGTGGTCCTGGCCACCCACTCCCTCGTGTGCCGTGCCGGCCTTCATAGGTGCTCGCGAACAGCACTTGCCCCAACAGTCTATTTATGCTATATGGGGATTCTTTATCTTTGGTAAACATGATACGCTAAGGACTGCGTGGGCCGAGCTATTGGCGGTTGTGCTGTGCGGATCTCCCGCGTGTGTTCGGGTCCGAAAGCAGCTCCCCGGCACGTGGAGCGAAACGTCGGACACGCTGCCAAAAACGCAGCGCGACCGCGAAGCCCCGCGCAGACACTGACACCGATACGCCTCTGATATCGCCGCATTCTCCGGATCATAAGACGCACTAACCCCCCCCACCCACCCACCCCGCTCCGTCAATGAAAGCGAACGCTGGGATGCGTCTCAAAGCTCGGTGGCCGTGTGCGCGCGTGTCGCCGGCTCTCGAGAGCCCCGTTCTCACGCGTGCCCTGCTCCGCTGGGGTGTTCAATGCTCCTTTTAAAAAAACCCAGCCAGTTAGTAAGAGCGATGTACGATATTGCTGAATCTCAGGATGGTGACTGATGGGAACGACTTGGGGGGCGGGCCTTCATCCAGCAGTGGATCGATCACAGCCGACGACGACGATGGTGTCAGAGTTGCGTTCATAGTCGCATCACGAGAACTGCAGCCTTCCCGAAATAAATCACCTGCCATCATCATCATCATGCTCAATGCCGAACGCACGCGTGCATGTTGAACTTTTGTCGCACCGTACGTGCTAATCGGAGGACAACGTCGCATATCCGCCCGATTAACCGACCAGTGCAGGCATCTTTATATATATTAAAACAAATTAAATGTTCGCATAGCCGACCTCGCATATTCCGCCTACCCATCATCTCAGCTCTCAGCAAGTGGGAGACGTGGCGATTCCTCCGCCGGCCGCGCCACTCATCAACATCGTCGCGGCAAAAAAAAGACAGCTCAAGTTCCCCTCTTTATTCAATAAATTGTCATCTCACTTCGATTTTCAATAATTACCTTGATTTATTATATATACACACGAGATATATGTCTTCTCGTTCACTGTGACTGCGCTTCGGTTGTGGAATTCCCTACCGTTTGAAATTCGTTTATCTGATAATGTGGACTCTTCTAAGCGTCATCTAAAAAAAAACAAATCTTCGTAAGTCACTTTTGTTCCCTGTAGCTTCTCCGGCTCTCTTAGCCTTTCCTGAACCGTATTCTTACAGGGCGCATTGAGACATCAGTGAAAGGCGCATTACTAATACACGTAAATTATTAAAGGAATTTACAGATAATTAACAACGGTGTTTGGCCGTGTCGGGTGGTGGAGGGTTACGACACATTTATAAATAACGCGATCTTACCCAAAAAACGTTTATATTGGTCGCGAAAGCCTCCTACGTGTTAAACTAACGGTGCAACGTATGAATGTAATTGGTGGAGACGAACTTTAATGAAATAGATGAGTGGAAGCAATGGGTACGAATCTGTGATGGCTAAATAAACGACGACGATACATGATGATGATACATGGATGGAATATATACTCGCGAGAATTATGCATGCGTGTGTGTAGTTAATAAAACTTGACGTGCCAAAGGGCCCTGCAGCTGAAAGTTTTCAATCAGTGCGGACTGAGAGGTGGAATTGGCGCAGCAGAGGAGAAGGACATCCATCACGTTGACCGCTGGAGAAAGTATAAATATGCGACGTTTCGGGCAGTCGCTGTTCTTCACATCGCATGGAGAGATAGGGAGGCTAGGCGATTGCGTTATTTATGAATGTGTCATTGATGAATTCTCACTGAACAAATGAGTTGGTGCTGCTGCTGTACAGTGAACAACACAAAATACGACACATTCGTCAATAACGACGTCGTGTTCTTTAATAAATATATAATGGGCGACGTTTCGGGCAATGGCCCTGTCCTTAAATAAATATATAATGGGCGACGCTTCGGGCAATGGCCCTGTCCTTGAATAAATATATAATTAGGCGACGTTTCGGGGAATGGCCCTTATTCATATACATGTTTTTCTTTCCCTCTGAAGCCACAACTGCTGTTATTGACGAACATGTTGAGTGCTGTTTGTTGTTGTTGTTTGTGTGCCACCGCCAGCGGAAGTGGTAAACATTATGGGTGGAGGGGGATAGGGCGGCGTGGATGCGGGCAGCAGCATCATGGGGGTGGTAATATGATAATGTACACTTATAAAGCGCCGTCAAGCAATCGCCCTCAGCTCGCTGTGCGTGGAAGGGCGGAAAATTATTTAACAACAACAACCAAGTAAAGAAAACGTGAGAAAAACGTTTGGAAATGACTCAAAAGACATAGCCCTTTTTGAACAGGTACGTTTTTGTTCGTCGAGATTTTGAAGATGATTTCTCAGTGTCTCCAGAAGTCCCCCTGACCCCGAAGTGGCAGTGAGTCACAGAGTTTAGGTGTCGCAATTGCAAAGGCACCGTCATCGTCATCGTCACCACCCCCTCCACCCCCCCACACTCCGTGAAGCCTCGAGACCACCGTGCACCAAACCCACCGCGCGCCACGATCCGAGCCGCGAACCCCACCCAGACGGAGCGGTCGAGGGGGGGGGGGGGCGCGGCTTTGCGCCGTTGCAGTCCGCACGCAAACGCGCGAGGTCCGCGGCCGTCGTTCTTGTCCGGACTATAAGCCGCTCCCGAAAGTAAGACCCCCCCCCCCCCCTCCGCGTGTGCCCTCGGTGCGTCGATCAAATTGTGCAAATGTGGTTACGCAAAAAAAAAGCCTTCGACAGACTGCTGGGGCAAGTGCTGTTCGCGAGCAGCACCTACGAAGGCCGGGAACGGCACACAAGGGAGTGAGTGGCCAGGACCGCGCCCGGCCGCCTTTGTCTCCCCCAGTGGCGATGTTTACTACACACCGCACCAGGTACTCATGTGAGGCTGTGTCGACCTAGGGGAGGCCCAGGACCGGTTTAGATAATCGTCGCTGGTGTTGGTCGTGAGTGGGAATAGAACTCGGGGCGCCGGTTTTTGGAGCGCAGCGCGCTAACCACTGCGCCGCCGTTCCCCTCCCCCACGGACCTACAGGATCATTAGACGTGCCCTTAACTTTGGCTTTCAAATACAGGAGGGGGTTAGGGCGTCTTATAATACGGAGAATGCGGTATTATCGGAAGTTATCGATCTTAGTGCTGCGTGGATTTTCATGGTCGTGCTGCGTTTTCAGACCTGTGCCACCGTGTATTGCTCGGCAGCATGTCCGACGTTTCGCTCCACGTGCCGGGAGCTGCTCTCAGACCAGAACACGCGCGGGAGATCCGTACAGCAACAACCGCCAAAAACCCTGCCCATGCACACACGCACACATACACTGTATGTACGTACGGGGGAGCCTGACTTAGTCTCATAACGCGGTACTAGGAGGATCCTGCCACACATTGCGATGCTTGTCCATTAATTCCAATAAAATTATAAGAAAAAAACGTCACAATCGATTCACGTGCAGCTTATCCCGGGCAGGGATCGTTACAGCGCAGGGCCGTGGTGATAGGTGGCGACGGCTTGGAGGGAGAGAGAGAGGCAGGCCTTCATCCAGCAGTGGATTGACCATGGGAGCTGCTCCCATTCAGCTTTGGGACGTCTTCTTGAACGTCCGCGCGGCACAATGCGGAGTGGCAGCGC